GGAGACTAGTCCGGAACCCCGCCCCCGCTTCGTCTCCGCCCAGCTCGCTCGCCCAGCGCCGCTTGCTGGGACGCCCCTTCCCCGCAGAACCCTGTGTCTCCCTCTGCCCCCAGCCTTCCTTCTTCCAGCTGCCGCCTTGGAAGTTGCAGGGCGACCTGGTGAGTGGCCCTCTCCGAATGCCCCGCAGGCTGGACCAGGGGCGGGTGGCCGTGGACTGAGTTCGGGTAGGGAGAGGGCGGTGCCGGAGGCCGAGGGGGCGCGAGGGGGGGCGCGGGCGGACCTGCGGGCCCCGGCGAGCGGCAGTGTTGCCGGTTCCCAGATAGGGGCACAATCCCTCGCTGTTGTGTCCGCCTTCCTGTGAGAGATTGTTCTGTGTTCTCCGGCTCTGCATCCCTCCTGCCGCATTGCTCCTCCTCTTGGGGTTCTAACATCTGATGTTTGTTTAATTGCTTTGTGTTGTCGAGTTGCGCACGAACATGGCCTAGAGAAACAGCATCTAATTCGCAGCTTTATCGGGTGAGACTACCGGAGCCCAGGGAGGTGGCAGGGCTTGCCCAGGGTCACACGGGGAGCTGGTGGTAGAGCATCACTTCTGTCCTACTGCCCTTTGATCTTTGCAAACACTCTCTGGGACTGAGATCCCTCGCCCACTTGCATTGCCCCCACCGAGACTAGGGAATGTGTGTGTGTGTGTCTAAGAGGAGCCGATGGTCTGTGTACCTCCAACCAACCCAGACCTCCGTGCCAGCGGGCCTGGAGAATTCCCTGCCAACACACGCGAGCTTTTCCGCTGTCTCCCCCCCTCTCACCCCTCCTGCTGCTGCTTCCCACCACCTCAGCCCCCTCTCCACTCCTCTGACGTCACGGACATGCTCTTTGCAGACTGGCTCTGGGCCTGGGGAGGAAAGTCTGGCCTGGTGAAGGCCTGGAGAGGAGAGGAGGGAGGAGGATCCCACACCAGAACTTAGTCCTGACAGCCCCTCGGAGTCAAGGCCGGCCCTCTCCCATATTGTCCATTTGATAGGACACCCTCTGAAGCCAGATGATCAACAGCTAGGAAGAGGCAACACCCGGATTTTTTTTTTTTTTTTTAACTCAGGTCTCACTTATGCGCTCATACTCCTACATTATGCTATTTTCCTGGGATTTACCTAGTGAGAAAAGTGAGCAAATATGAGTGAGAGAAAGACAGAGAGCCCAGGGGGTATTAAGAAGGGAGCGCATTAAGATTAAACTAGAGGAATAGAAAAAGCAGAGTTCTGAATCATGCCTATTTTTATGGGGATGGGGGGAGGAACTGATTCTGGAGGGCCACAAGAGGGCCTTCAAAAATGTTAGTAACGGTCTGTTTTTTAATCTGGGTGATTGGTGTATGGAAGTTTGTTTAATTTTTAAATCGTTTTATTATTTTACCATCCAAATTCTTCCACGTGCATTACATATTCTTTTAAATGTATGAATTAAACCATTTTAAGTGAAAAATAAGTAAGATTGGGCTGGTATGAACCCACCCCAATTCTGGCTACTATTAACAGAAGATGGTGGACACTGGAAAAGATACTGGACATATAAGGAAAAATAAACAAAGCGTTCGCGGAAAAAAAGGCATGAAGATGAGAAGACCTATAGGATTGGGTGTCTGTGATATGGATCATTTTGCAAGGCCCGAGTAGCTATATGCTGAAGAATTGATCCCAGGTTTGCCCTTACGTTCACATCCATGATTCAGTCGTCCATCCGTGGAGCACCTCTTCATTCTTGTGGGGAATCCAGATATATAAATCACGTCCCCTGACCTCAGATACTTACTCTACTTTGGGGATTTCAAATCAAGCTACAGTGCAGGATGTGGTGCCATATCCAAGGCAGGCCCACTACCCTTCTTGCGTTCTAGATACGTCTCTTAAAGAGAGACCCCGTTTAGGTGCCATGGGGCCTCTTTGTGGAAGGAGTAAGGGATCTGTAAAGCTCTCTCCTTGAGTTACAGGTCGTGCCTGAGGTGCCTTCTACTCCCGAAGTGCCTTGGGTTCCATTAGTTAGCGGGCCTGGGGAGAGAAAGCAGGATCCACAGAAGGAGAACCAAGGATGAAGAACTTAAGGGGAGAAATAAGAGATTACCCCAGGCTATGTCCATCTGCGCTTACCAAGCTAGGAGGGCAAACAGGGATTCAGGCACAAAGAAGAAGCATTTGGTTGAAAAATTGAGTGTGGGAGTCATTGATAGCTGGTTAAAGTGGGGACAGAACCAGCTACAAAGTTCAGGGAACCTCCACAGAGGAGGAATTCACATTTATTGGTGGACAAATGCACAACTTGGGAGATGAAGGAAGACATTTTAGAATGAGTGAGATAGGATCAGTTGATGAATCCAATCATTTATATATTCAATCATTTAATGTGTTTACTTGATTGAATTTATATTACCTGTGCTATTTTTAATTGTAATAGAAACACATGCAACAATTCAAAGGACTGTTGTGCAGACTTCTATAAAGAGAAAGAATACTGTTCACCTCTTCCTTTCCTATGCAGTCAGTGTTAGCTTGTTGAAATGTGGCCTCCATAGTTTTCTGTTTATATAAAATCCTAGTAACAGGCTTATGTATTTCTGGTACTTAAGAACGTGGACTCCAGTGCTAGATTTCCTGGGTTTGAATGAAGGATCCACTTACCACCTATGTGACTTAAGCAAGTAACAAATTCTCTGGCCATCAGGTTTTTTGTTTTGTTTGTTTTTTGGTCTTGCGCATTTTTAAAATTGGGATAGTGATAGTACATACCTCATAGGTTTATTGTCAGGATTAAATAATGTATGTAGAGCGCTTATAATGATGCCTGCAACCTGGTAAGCACTATATTGTCGTCACTACTACTAAAATTGCTAGTACTACTATTGTTAGTAACTTCATCCATACAAAGGTGGGTTTTTGTCCTACATATTATAGCAATTTGAAATTTTCACTTCAGATATATCTAGGACATTCTTCTAGGTAGAAGAAAAATAGGTTTAACGCTGTTCTTTATGAAAGCCTCGTGATATTCTATAATACAGATTATCATGCTTTTCTCAAGCATTCTCCTTCTCAAAGCTTGTCTTGCCACACTCAGAGCCTTGCTATCAGACTAAGGAACAAGGAAAACCGGCAGAGAGAAGGGCGCTCAGGTGGTTCCACCCAAACCCCACTCACCTCAGGCCACCCGTCAAGCCCAGGAACCAGGTGGGAGACTCAGCAGGAAAAGCACCCCTCTTCTCCCTTGTCCCCTACTTTTCAAATCTGCAGGCCACCTGTCCATCCCTTTGTCACTTCTCTACAGATACTTCTCCCATGAACTAGCTCAGAGTACAACGAGTGAGGCAGAACTGCGCGTTCCCTGCTCTGGGTGTGTTTGGAGTATCAACGCTGGGGGCAGCATGGCAGTTGTTTACAGCGTGTGTATGGGTGGCCGCCTGGGGGCTGTGCCCCGGGGTCTCAGGTTCGGTGCCATGGCAAACTCCGGGGGTTACATGGAAGTTGGGTAGCCGTGACTTTGGGTTAGAGATCCTGTACCCACGGGAGTCAAAAATGGTTCTAGGGAATATTGTTTGTCATCTGTCTATCTCCCTGTCTAGATTTTCACTTATCTATCTCCATTTGCAGTTTTGTTGGGCAGTGACCATCCTTGTGCGTGTATCTTTAATACTGCTGTTCTTATTTTTGTAAGAAAGGTTATCAGTAGGCCTGCTTATCTTAAGATAGGCACACCTTTGAAACCGAGTTGCCACTGTCAGATTGCTTTCAGATTCTCAGTCCTTCTAACAGATCGCGCTAGTGTTTCCACAGCCTTGGGGCATTGGACATTATTATCTTTACCTTCCTCTCCTCCTCTTCCTTTTTCTTTTTTGCCCCCTTCTTTCTGGACAATCTTATGGGCAACGTACATTGTATTTAAATTGCCTGATTAGTGATATTGAGCCTATTTGCAGAGATTTATTAAGTTTCCTTTTCTGTGAATATTTTCTCTCAGGTAGGATTTCAGTGGCCTGAAAGATGTGGGAGAGGGAACAGGAATAAAAAGAACGGAAAGAGAATCTAAAATGAAAGCAGGGCATGTCCAGGAAGGCCAAGTATCCTGGAAGCTGCAAGAGATATGCTGGAAAGTAAGAAGCAGCCAGCCCTGGAGGCCTTAAACCCCAAGAGGAAGCTCAGATTTTCCCCTGTGGGCAAAGGCGAAGCTCTGGGGCGTTCTTTTCTGGGAAATAATACAATCAGTGGCTGTAGAAGAATAAAGGCGAGAACAGATGCTGGTGACTTAGAAGCCGGGTCCATTTAGTCCAGGAATGAATCACTGAGGACCCAAACTAGGTTAACGGCAGTGTGATTGGAAACCATGAAGGACGAACGACACTGTGACCAGCTGGATATGGATCAGAAGAGAGAAGGGACACAACTGTGACTCCTTGCCATTTGCTGTCCTGGCTGTTTGTGGACCCCAGGAGGAGCCAGGGACGTGACAGATTCTTATTTACCAACTGTTTGCCGATTGTATCTTCTCAGTAGTTCTCTGGGGTGGAGGTTACCCTCTTTAACAACTAGGGACCTCGAGCTTATGTTTTTACCCAAGAGGAGCTAACTTGGAGGGAAAAGAATAAATTTAAGACTTTTCAGTTTCAGAGACAGTTACAAATGGCAGAGTGTGCTTTCAATAGGGGTCTTGAGTTTATGGCTTATGTCAGGACCAGGGCCTTTGCATCTGTGGCCTGGGGAAGGCACAGAGAAGGCCTCTGCCAAGGGCCCGTAGAAATCCTTGAGAACTAAACAATCATCAGTATTAGTACTGGCTCCAAAATATGAAACCTGTAAAATCAAGAGTCAACAAACGCTTAATCCAGTGTTGGTAAAATCTAACCTTAGGTTAGATTTGTTTTCGCTTTACAATAATTCCCTATTTTGCACATACTTAAATAGCTTGTTCGTAACCAAGTAATTTTCAGCAAAGATATATATATATAATAATTGAACACGTATATGTATCTACATATCTATAGATCCATATATAATACATAATGGAAAGGCACTTAACCTATGCTATTCCTTTAATCTTCAGAACAGTCCTATGTGGTAGATAGTATTATCCCTACTTAATGAACGAGGAAGCTACGTTCAGCCTAACTCCAGAGCCTAAGCTCGTAATTGCTGTGCCGTAGTACCTTGAGTGAGCATATTCTTTCACAAGGAAAAAAGCAGTAAGGGCCAGAGATAAACACCTAAAGAATACCTGCATGTTCAGAAGAGGGAAGAGGATAGGAATGAAGCGGTTTGAGAGGTTACACATGATGAGGTTGGCTCAGGCCATAAGGTTGGAGGTGGTAATAGCCTCAAGGACCAGGAGAGCAGCACTGTCCAGACCCACCGAGTGGTCAGTGAGGCCTGGATGTCCTGACTATTCAACGCGTCTGTCCTTGAGGGAAGTGCTTCAGTGAAGTGCATATGGAGGAGTTCGGACTGCAGAGAGACCTTGAGCGGGGAGCTCGTGGTGAAGAAGCAGAGGGGTTTTGTGAGTACACATCCACAGACATACACACCTTTCTCTGCTATGTCCAGGTGCAAGTAAGAATCCGCCGTAAGTTCATAAATTGTTACCTCTGCTTCTGATTGTCTGGGACCTGGACTCAAGCCAGAGGACTTCTGCTTTCCTCTTACCCAGCCTATGACTGTGACCAGAGAACCCTCTATGAGGACCCAGACTTTTCAGACTGAAATTCTGGCCCCAAGCTGAGATTAATACGATCAGTGTGGAAGCCAAATGGGGAGGAGTGGGGGTGGGGAGATAGCATGCTACACCACTGCATTGGTTTCCACTGGTTACCGCAGCAAAGTACCACAAACTGGGTAGCTTACAACAACAGAAACGTATTCTCTAACAACAGTCCCCAGCCTTTCTGGCACCAGGGACCAGTTTCGTGGAAGACAATTTTTCCACGGACGGGCGGCGGCGGGGGAGGCGGTGGGGGGGCGGGGATGGTTCAGGCGGTAATGCAAGAGATGGGGAGCGATGGGGAGCAGCAGATGAAGCCTCACCCGCCGCTCACCTCTGCTGTGCGGCTCAGTTCCTTACAGGCTGCAGACCAGTAGCGATCCGCGGCCCAGGGGTTGGGGACCCCTGCTCTAACAGTTCTGGAGGCTTAGAAGTTTGAAATCCAAGTGTTGACAGGTTTGGTTCTTTCTGGAAGTTCTGAAGGAGAGTCTGTTCCATGCCTCTCTCCCACCTTCTGGTGTGTGCCAGCAATCTTTGGCATTCCTTGGCTCATAGAGACATCACCCCAGTCTCTGCCCACATGTTCTCATAGCCTGTGTGTCTCTCCCCTGTGTACCTGTGTCTGTGTCCAAATATCCTCTTCTTATAAGGACACTAGTCATTAGATTAGAGCCCACTCAAATCCAGTATGACCACACCTTAACTTGATTACATCTGCAAAGACCCTATTTCCAAATAAGATCACACTCACAGGCGCTGGGAATTAGTACTTAAATATATGTCTTTGGAGACTCAATTCTGCCCGAATTCTTCACTTCTGTTTGCTTCCTTTATGTGATGCAAAATGTCGAGCTTGTTTAGTCTGACCATGAGAATGTTAGTTGACAGTGCACAACAGGGTCTCCTGGATTGGAGACACTGAGGGCCCTGATGAGTGCTTGAGTCAGTTCACAGTGTCGGTCTCATCTGCTGAATGGGAAGAATTGCCCCAGCTAGTGGAGGATTGAACTCTTGGCTTGTTTGTTTGTTTATCCATTCTTCACCAGGCTGAGGCTTTGCTTTCCTCTCTGCAGAAGCCGATCCAGCCATGGCGACTCCGTCTGCTGCCTTTGAGGCCCTTATGAATGGAGTGACAAGCTGGGATGTCCCTGAAGATGCCATCCCATGTGAACTGCTTCTAATTGGAGAGGCCTCCTTCCCGGTGATGGTGAATGACATGGGCCAGGTCCTCATTGCTGCCTCTTCCTATGGCCGAGGCCGCCTGGTGGTGGTGTCCCACGAGGACTACTTGGTGGAGGCCCAGCTCACTCCTTTTCTCCTCAATGCAGTGGGTTGGCTTTGCTCTTCCCCTGGGGCTCCTGTTGGTGTACACCCATCCCTGGCACCTCTGGCCAAAATCCTTGAGGGCTCTGGTGTAGAGGCAAAGGTTGAACCAGAAGTGAAAGACTCCCTGGGGGTTTACTGTATTGATGCCTACAACGAAACCATGACTGAAAAGTTGGTCAAGTTCATGAAACGTGGAGGGGGCTTGCTAATCGGAGGCCAAGCCTGGGATTGGGCCAACCAGGGCGACGACGAAAGGGTTCTGTTCACGTTCCCTGGGAACCTTGTGACCAGCGTGGCCGGCGTGTACTTCACCGACAATAAAGGGGACACGAGTTTCTTTAAAGTCTCTAAGAAGATGCCCAAGATCCCAGTCCTAGTTAGGTGAGTGCATTACCCCAATGGGGAGTTGGTCCCAGGTTAAAAAGAAGGTGGTTCTTGTCTTCAGGCTACTCCCAGGCTAACAGAAGAGAATTTGGCACTCAACGTGGACTCGCCATAAATCAACCAGAGTATTAAAATACCCTGAGGTGCAGGAGGGGCAGGATCCCTGTTGCCTCCTCAGACCAGATCACTTAGCTCTTTGAGGGGAGAAACATCTTAGTGACCATTATGTCCCCCGGCATCTTGTTTAGTAAAATATATTGCTGAATCCCAGGGTTCACATGACTAATCCAGGAAGGTGACAGGTGAAGGTTGCCTGCAACTGAAGTGTAAGGAAAAGGAAGACGGACACGAGGGGTCCAGTAAGACAAAGTCTAGAGAGCTGTGCGAAAGGTTTTGCAATGTCCAGCCAGATAGGGTTAGGATGGAAGTAAAAACTAGAGGATTTAGAAGTTGAGATACCAGAAAGATGGCATAAGTTCTATGTGCTAGATCTTAAATCTAGGAGTCAGAGATGATTTTTATCTCTGGAAGCAAAAGACCTGCTGATGGAGGATGAAGAAGGCAGCTGATAGGTTCCAAGACAGGCTACACAGAAAGTTCTTCGAGGGCCTTGCCCAGCCTGTTCCCTTCACATTGTGCTCCAGCACCTCATATGGTGCTGAACATGGAGCACGTTAGTAGGTGCTCAGTAAACATGTGTTGGATGGATGATTGGATGGATGAAGAGAGAGATGAGAAGCTGGGGTAGTCCCAGAAGTAGAAAAATCACACGAGGCCACACCTTATATAGTGCATGAAAACTCTCAGCATCCTTGGAGCAAAGAGCATTGGTATTTCTGTCCGGTGGGAGCAGAACGAGGTAGAACTGAGTGAGGACGGTACACCAGGGTAGTACAAAGACTTAGGGAATGAGCTGTGGCCTCTCCTTGGCATGGAACTCCTGGAACACCCCACAGCTCCATTCTCATATGTGCAATGAGGAAAGAGTTGTTCAGAGGCACAGTGATTGATCAGATTGATCAAACTTCAGCTTACTAGTGATCTTCATTCTAAGGAACAGGAAGGTAAAACTTGGGTGTAATTCTGTTTGACAACGTAATCCCCTTTAGTTGCCTTAAAAGATGTTTTTCTCTATCAAAATCATACCTCTTTTTTCTTTGGCTATGCCTATATCATCTCTTATCATCACTGAATCTGAATTTTTTGCCTTTTGGTTAAATCGTGTGTGTGTGTGTATGTGCATGCGTGCACATGGGAAATCAACTTGAAGGCTAACGCAGGAGGAAAAATCAGACTTAATAAGGGAAGTGCATAGAATCTCCTGTGGAGATTATGGGTTATTAGCATCGGTTATTCACTAGGTAAGACTTCACTGCAACTCTTGACTCTGTGCTTGTGCAGGTAGGTATATCATAGAATTACTTATATGTTATGAGGGTCATTTTTTGACTTGTGGATGGATTCAAGATGGCAGCAATGACTTCCTAAGTTAATTGGCTGAGATGAAATGAAGAGAAGGAAAAGGTACAAGAGAATATATGTCTGTGTGTGTGTGTCACATATATACATTTCTTAACTTATCTACATTAAGAAATACCTATGGGGCTTCCCTGGTGGCACAGTGGTTGGGAGTCCGCCTGCCGATGCAGGGGACGTGGGTTCGTGCCCCGGTCCGTGAAGATCCCACATGCCGCGGAGCGGCTGGGCCCGTGAGCCATGGCCGCTGAGCCTGCGCGTTCAGAGCCTGTGCTCCGCAACGGGAGAGGCCCGCGTACCGCAAAAAAAAAAAAAGAAAAAGAAAATACCTATGCATAGGTTGAGATGAGTAGGGAAAAACAGAAAAGAAAAACCTCTCCTCCTCCCCCCAGTTTCCTTAATATTAGCTCTCAAGCACCCAGTATGTGTGTTCCGTCCAACCCTCCTTCCCTCCCTCCTTCCCTCTCCCTTGCTCATCCCTTATTTCCTTCCTTCTACAAAGTAATATATTCACAGAGTTCAAAAAATCAAAACAATGCTGAAAGGTCAGCATCAACCTATCTTTCTCCCACCTCCTGTTGTGGTCGTTACCAAACTATACATTTATCCAAATTCATTAATTATAAACCTAAATTGTGTGAATTTTACTTTATGTAAATTAAATCTCAACCTTTGAAAATATATTTGTTAAAATAGGACTTTAAAAAATAAATAATCTGAGATATAATCAGATTCATGTATAAGGATTGCAATTCAGCATTATCTGTTATTGGGAAGGGTAGAAATTATAGAACACTATACAATGGATTATTAACTAACCATTAAACATATTATGTTTCCAAGAATATTTAAGGACAAGGGAAAGCTCTTTGGGGATACTATTAAGTGAAATAAAATAGGATACTAATGGTGGTTCAATATGTTCCCAGTTTTGTTAAAAAAATATATAGCTATATGTAGAAAATATTACATAAGAAGAAAGCCCCAAATATCAGTAATAGGTAGATCTCTTGATTGTGGGATACTGATAGATGATTTTCAGTTATAAACTTTAATTTTCAAACTTCCTATCAAATTTTTTAAGAAGGCATATATTTCATTACCTTGCTCACATGCAATTCAGAAATCACATTTAAAATCTTCCACATCTTTATGACACACAAATGCTTTTTTATTTAATAAGCAGAAAATATTTTTAAAATTCTAACTCGTTAATAGATCACTTTTTTTTCACTTTCCTTTCTAATATTTCTGAAACATGCACACACACAGGCGTGTGCAGTGTTGCCAATACAGTTGACCCTTGAACAACTTGAGGGTTTGGGTCATCCCTCTACACAGCTGAAAATCTACGTATAACTTACAGTCAGCCCCCTGTATCTTTGGTTCCATATCCTTAGATTCAACCAACTGCGAAACGTGCAGTACTGTGGTATTTAGTATTGAAAAATAAAACCTGTGTAGAGGTGGACCTGCACAGTTCAAACCTATGTTGTTCAAGGGTCAACTGTACTTTTGAATTATGATTCTTCTTCATTGGATACTCTTTTAGATTACTTTTTCAACATTGCTGGATCTCTTATTTTTTTATTTTCATTTTAAAATTATTAAATCATAAACCCACAATACAACTCTCTTTTCACCTTTGCACATTATTTTCCCCACTCATTCATAATTTTGCTCCCTTGTCATCTTAGTATACATGCTATTTTGAATTCTGCTCATAAACGTTTTCATTCTATGTAATCTTTAAAATTATACTTGATTCATTTTATGCAAATGCCAGTGTATATACCTCATTTATTTAATCATTTGCCTACTGTTGAAGATTTGGATCTTTCTTTAGTGTTCTTGTAATTATGTAATACTGTATAACATTATCATCAACGCATTTTCAGCAATACTAGACACCAACATGCTTCTATTAGAATTCAAGAAGGAAGATTATTTCCATCACAGGCTGTCAGGTTCACATTGAAAGTCCCTGTGGGTTTAGTTACTCTGCCCAAATATCTTATTTATTTTTAAACCCACATTTGAACATGCGAGTGTGAATTAAGATAGCTTTAACCTTGCTACTTGTGCATTTCTTACTAAATTAAATTCTAAATAAGATATTAGGATGAACCTTCTAAGAATAAACTGTCCACAGGTCTTATCAAGATGAATCAAATTTTTATCAGAAGAAGTTACTAATTTTATGATGGAAAAATAAAACCCTACATAATAAAACCAGATGATCTACTTTTAGCCTGGTGAGAATACCTGCAGATATCAGGACACAAGTCTCATAGTCACTGCCCTCACTTCCTGCCTGGAAAGCACCATGATCTGCACTTAGAGCACTGGCCACCATGTTGTCTCTATGGCCACACTGCCTGTACTCTGTTCCCCGAACAATTTCTAATCTTCCATCCGCTTATCCTCGGAGGTCTCCACTGTATCTCCAGATTTGAGGGCAATGGCTATTGTACTTTAAATGCAGAACCAGTCCCACCTTCTTTCTATTAAGTATTTCATTTGAACAAACACTGGATCCATTGTCATAAACACAGCCTCATTTCAAGACTCAGGATTCTAGTAAGAGATTTCATATCTACTGGGAAAAGCACAGATTTTAGTGGAGGCCAAATTTAATAAGTTCCCAAGCTCTGTCTGGTGCTTGCACTAAAACCTTGAGCCATAAGTAAGCCTCATCTCTAAAGCAGGATTAATAATGACTACCTTTAAGGGTGGTTGTGAGGATTAAATGAATTAAGAAACATGTTCAAAGTACCTAAAACACTTTAATTATTTTGACATCAGCTTTCAGGCTGTGGTAATGTAAGCATATGAGGTCATGAATATCATTTCCAAACATTGAAAATTACCTGGCAGCCATCATTATGCTGCTTTGCCCCAAGTCATGTACGTTTCTCCAGTTGTATAAGCTATCGATTTTTTTTTTTTTTGGCTGTATGTGGGCCTCTCACTGTTGTGGCCTCTCCTGTTGCAGAGCACAGGCTCCCGACGCACAGGATCAGCGGCCATGGCTCACGGGCCCAGCCGCTCCGTAGCATGTGGGATCTTCCCGGACCGGGGCACGAACCCATGTCCCCCGCATCGGCAGGCGGACTCTCAACCACTGCGCCACCAGGGAAGCCCAGCTATTGACATTTTAACTGGTATTTTTCCTACTTCATCCACCAAACTGAGGCAGCAGCATCATGATGGATTGCCATGTTTTACCCTTTTTCTACATTTAACAAAACAGGGACTAGACACTGAATTGGCTTTACCGATAAAGGGACTTGATGCTGATTAAACATATCATCAGATAACCGATCTGAGGGAGGTTTGGGGAGAATCAACCACAACAGTTTAATCTGTTTTATGGATAAGAAGGCCCTTGTCTCATTTTAACACAAATCTCAGGCTTCTGATAGAGTTCTGTTTCTATGTGTGTTCATTCATCCATCCATTTAGCCAGCAATTTATTCGGTATATGCTATGTCTCAGGCTTTATTTCTTATTTCAAAAAAATGATTTCCAAATATCTGAGAATTAGAAGAGCAGAAACGTCTCCAATAACCAGCCCTGGAGGAAGTCACAAAAACCAAGTAACTGTTGTAGGAAGAGGGCTTGTGATATCAAGGTTCGGTAGAACCTGGAAACCTGGGCTTGCTGCCAGCAACTGCACGCCGTGACCTTAGCGTGTGCTTTCAACTCTCTTTCTCCCTCTAAATGGGAAGTGCTGGAGTAGAAGGTCCTTGCCCTCATTTCAGCCATTACTCCATTGAGACTGGTTTTCAGTCTTCAGTAATCCCTGTATATTCACGGTCATCAGAGATGCAGAGAAAAGCATGTCGAACAGTGGTCATGCTCTGAAATGTCCACATGCTCCAAATTGCTTGGCTTGAAAACACCCCTGTGAAACCTGAATGGGCAAACGTTATCTAAATTGATGCCATATGTGTATATATACACACACACATATATATGTATATAGACATCTCTACTTCATTTTGAAAGATGGCCAAGGGATATTATATAGAAAAGTCTTTTGAATTCCAAATTTTGAAGATTTCAGGATTTTGAAAATAGACTCTTCAAATGAGCCGAAATGCAACAAGAGAACTGCCAAATTCCTGAAGATAATCAATGTGTATATGACTCTCCAAGTAGTTTGGAAAACAAAAATACCTGAACAGATATTAATACGCTTATTTGTAACAAGGATCCACAAGTCTTTGGAGGTCATTGCTAGGATAGATAGAATGCTAACTGCAGACGTTGGTCAGGGTCATGGCCCTGCGAGATGGGGTGAGCATACCTACCTAACTCTGAGCGTCTTACTACAGTCCTAGCCATGTATAGTAGAATTGTATTAACTGGTTCTCACAAAATAAATTAGAAGTTTTTAGAGAGTGAATTCAAGTGGGAAGATATGCCACTTTAGAAGAGAAATTGCTAAGTCACAATTCAGTTTTCTTTTCCTTTTTATGCACATTTTCCTTTTTTCAATTTCAAAACAATATGCTTACTGGAAAAAAGAGAAATAGTCCCAAAGTATACAAAGTAAAAAGTGAAAGATCTTCGTCCTCCACCTCAGCCTCTTACTAATTCTTCCCAGAGGTAATCACTGCTTAGTTTGGACTGTTATCTTTTTTGATGCTAACGCTACATGAACTCTTTCAGAAAATAAGAGGAGAGAAAAGTTTTTGTAACTTATTAAAACATTATTTCTCTGATGCTAAAACCAGAAAAAGACATTGCAAGACAAGAAAACTACAGAACAATGTCCCTTATGAACAGAGATACAAAAATTCTTACTAAAATATTGTAAGTAGACTACAATATATAAAAAGGATACTACATCATGACCAAGTAAGGCTTATTCTAGGAATGCTTGGCTGGTTTAACATTCAAATATCAAATTAATTATTCTGTTAATACAGAATAAATGAGAAAAACCATATATATTCAATAGATGTACACAGACCAAAAAAATCCTTTGACAAAATTCAGTGTCAAATCATGACAAAATTTCAGCTAACTAGAAATAAAAGGGAACTTCTTCAGTGTGATGAGTCCTCTTTGAAAAACCTATAGCTAAGAACATACTTAACGGTGAAATACCCTGAGATTGAGAACAAGGCAAGGAAGGATAGCTGTTTTCACAAATGAGGATTAATCCCTGTTCTTTGGTTTTCTTGATCTTCTCTTTCACATATGTGCAGTTACAGACTCTTCTGTTCTCTTGGGTTTCTGATCAATCTGATTTCACTTGATTTATATTTCCTATAAATTCCTCCTGTCCCAGCTTGCAGATTGCACCCTTCTTGAAATATAGTGAATCTAGTGCTATCATGATTTTATTGTCTTTTTAAAATAAATTTTGTTTCATTTCAGACCAGAGAGGGAAAAGAAAAGTAAAAATCCAATTCAAGTTGTTTTTTTTTTTTTTTTTTTTTTTTGTGGTGGTATGGGGGCCTCTCACTGTTGTGGCCTCTCCCGCTGCAGAACACAGGCTCCGGACGCGCAGGCTCAGCAGCCATGGCTCACGGGCCCAGCCGCTCCGTGGCATGTGCGATCTTCCCGGACCGGGTCACGAACCCGTGTCCCCTGCATCGGCAGGCGGACTCTCAACCACTGCGCCACCAGGGAAGCCCCAATTCAAGTTTTTTTATGAAACATTTATCTCCCCCTGCATATAAGCCGTGGCTGTCAGAAATAACAGACAGGTCTCTGACGATGCTTCCGACTCAGCAGGGAGCATCTAGGGTCCTGCTAGTGACGCAGTGTCTGGGTCTCAACTTTGCACATTCAGTATTGCTCATCTTGTCGTAACAGGCTAATGTACAAACCTTGATACCAATGTAAATCACCTCTTCACTGACTACACTTGTAAAACAATTAATTGCATGAAATTTATGAACAGAACTCGTGATAAGAACTAAAACACAAAGCACCGAGCTAATCTCCCCGTGCTATGCTGCTGCTTCCCACCAGCCAACTATTTTACATTCAGTAGTATATATATGTCGATGCTACTCTCACTTCACCCCAGCTTCCCCGTCCCACTCCAAGCCCTCAAGTCCATTCTCTACATCTGTGTCATTATTCCTGTCCTGCCCCTAGGTTTTTCATAACCTTTTTTTTCTTTTAGATTCCATATATATGCGTTAGCATACGGTATTTGTTTTTCTCTTTCTGACTTACTTCAGTCTGTATGACAGACTCTAGGTCCATCCACCTCACTACAAATAACTCAGTTTCGTTTCTTTTTATGGCTAATATTACATTGTATATATGTGCCACACCTTCAATAAAGATCTATTAAAAAAAAAACTAAAACATTTTCTATTTAATTTTGTATGCATAAAGTACTTAAATTTAAAAACGAATGTTTTTTGCTTTAGAATCAGCAAATTAAAGATATACTAAGATGTTGCTAGAGAAATATAAATGTCACAAAAAAATAGAAGATTTTGGTTTTCCTGGCCAGTGACTTCTTTCTTCAGGCAGATGATCCTGGGAAGTACTATTATTATCACAAGGTTGTTTGGTAAATTTGCAATCAGGGCACGAACAGCTAGTTGAATGATTTTAATGGCTAGTGCTTCAAGGAGGTGGAGAGTCATCTTGTAGGGTGATACCTTTATCTTTAGGAAAGGTTTGTACCTGCTAAGAGGACTATAGTTTCCCCATCAGTTAATTACAGCTCTGCCAACCACAGAGAGTACAACACAAATACTGTAAATATGCCACCTACCTGACCCCCTTTTTTCAGTGTTTCCTTACAACTGCCTCTGACCATACGGTTGCCAGAGATTTACCTAACGAGAGTGACTTAACCAGCTCTGGGACCTCAAGCTTAGAGATCACTCTACCTCTTACCCCCTCATAATCCCACTACCTGGGGCTGCTTCCCCCATTTCGGGGGTTATAGGGGTCCTGAAAGTCTTATAGGAGTTTGTTACCCTTAGATAGGAACAGGTGGTGATGAGAAAAACCTTATAGCATGGATGTGTATCACTCCTGTTGGGCCGGCAATGAATGTGTGGGATTCTGGGTGTAGGCAGTCAGTCCTCTTGGATTCACATAACAGCAGAGTCCCACTAGAGTTGAGGCCGGTCAGCTCCCTGCCCCACCTTTTGAGATAATAGTGATTCTTCACTAGCGCCACTGACTGACTCAGCTCTCTGTTAACTTTATTTGTAGAAAATTAGATGCATGAAATTATAAACAAGCCTCCTTATAAGAATGAAACCATGATTTTCCATTCAGTTCTTTGTATAGTGCTTAAAAGGCTGAAACAAACACTTAAATCCAGAATGTTTAAGATACAGTATTGGGTACACCCAGCAGGACTTCTTTCGAGATTTCCTTTGGAGGGTTTGCACACAGAGAAAGAGCAGAATTAATGCCGAGTGCCTCTGTCTTCCCTCCAGCAAGTCTCCATACCCAGTGAGGCCAGGTCTGCCCACTTTGTTCTCCCAGTTCCCTTTTAAGAGCTAAAAATGGTATTAATAAGTCTGACACTTGCTATATGCTGGGTGCTGTTCTGAGCGCTTTGTAATAGAGAACACGTGTGTCTTTTGCAGTTGTGAAGACGATCTCTCCGAGGACAGAGATGAACTCCTGCACGGGATTTCTGAGCTGGACATCAGCAACTCAGACTGTTTCCCGTCCCAGCTGCTAGTGCACGGGGCTTTAGCCTTTCCCCTGGGGCTAGATTCCTACCATGGCTGTGTCATAGCGGCTGCCCGCTACGGCCGGGGCCGGGTGGTCGTGACTGGCCACAAGGTCCTTTTCACCGTTGGTAAACTGGGCCCCTTTCTGCTCAATGCTGTGCGCTGGCTGGACGCGGGCCGCAGAGGCAAGGTCGTGGTGCAGACAGAACTGAGGACTCTGAGTGGGCTGCTTGCAGTGGGGGGCATAGACAGCAGCATTGAGCCCAATCTGACCAGCGATGCCAGTGTCTATTGCTTTGAGCCCGTGAGTGATGTGGGAGTCAAGGAGCTGCAGGAGTTTGTAGCAGAGGGCGGGGGCCTATTTGTTGGAGCCCAAGCCTGGTGGTGGGCCTTCAAGAACCCAGGAGTGTCCCCTTTGGCTCGGTTCCCAGGAAACCTCCTCCTCAACCCCTTTGGCATTAGCATCACCAGCCAAAGCCTCAACCCTGGGCCCTTTCGTACTCCTAAGGCAGGGATAAGGACCTATCATTTCCGTTCCACTCTGGCCGAGTTCCAGGTTATAATGGGCAGGAAGAGAGGGAACGTGGAAAAGGGCTGGTTGGCAAAGCTGGGACCGGATGGTGCAGCTTTCCTGCAGATCCCCGCAGAAGAGATCCCTGCCTACATGTCGGTGCATCGGCTCCTAAGGAAGCTGCTAAGTCGCTATCGGCTCCCAGTAGCGACCCGAGAGAACCCTGTCATCAACGACTGCTGCAGGGGTGCTATGCTCTCCCTGGCCACTGGGCTGGCCCACTCTGGAAGTGACCTCTCTCTGTTAGTCCCAGAAATTGAGGATATGTACAGCAGCCCCTACCTGCGCCCCTCGGAATCTCCTATCGCTGTTGAGGTCAACTGCAACAATCCAGGTAAGGAATGAGGGGTGGGAGCCTGGCGGGTGGGAACTGGAGGGCAATGGGTCGTGATGACTTGAGCAGCTCAGCTCCAGATCTGATCACCCCCAGGAGGCCATCTCCGTCCTCTGCCGTGCACTCTCAAGGAGATGGGGGTTGAGGTTTTAGGTGATGTTTGGAAGAGTAGAGCCAGGGCAGCATGGAGGCAGGAAGATGTGCAGAGCTCGTGAAGGGACTCTGGAAGCTGGGTGGCGATGGAATCACGGAGGAAGGGTAACGTCTACTCTTCCTCTGCTTTTGGCAGGCACCAGGTATTGCTGGATGAGCACCGGGCTCTACATACCCGGGCGGCAAATTATAGAGGTCTCGCTGCCTGAAGCCGCTGCCTCTGCTGACCTGAAGGTAAGGCATGCCCCATCTCACCACGTAACGTGGAACCCAAACACGGAAGCCAGATGCTCTTGCTTTCATAGTGGGTATCTTACCTGACTTTCCTACAAAACCAGCTGGCACTACAGGGCGTGCACTTCTACCCCGTAGTCGCTTAGGATGAAGCTGACTGGTTGACTGAAATGTATGGATTTGATACATTTCAGCGCCCAGGACTCAAACCTAACCAGCTTCTGGCTCAAGTTTTGTGCTTTTAACTTAGGTCACAGAGTGGGGAATAAGAAAGGTACCAGATGGCTGGTGCCCTAGCACACAGTCCAGTAAATCTTAGCCCACGTTCCATCCCGTGTACATTTCACATCAAAGCATGAGGTCCTTCTGACTCCAGCTTCTTCCCTGTGACACCATACGCTGTTCCTAGCTTGCGCGGTCCGCGTCAGCTCTGTCACTTTCACGTGCACACACACGGTATTCACGTTAAGCTGCTGTCCTGCTCCATCCCCCTTGTGGGGTCATCGTGATGGTTAGCGTCCGTTTTGTGCCTGTATCTGTCCTGGAACTTGTTTAGCATAAACCCGGGAGAACAGTCCCAGGATGCCTCTGAGGACAGGGGTGACTCCACTGGCGCAGGAATAGGGGCCTGGGAGAACAGGTGGAACTGAATCAATCTTCCACATCAACCGGTCACGTTTTCTCCCACTGGGCCTCTCAGGTCAAAAGGCAGGATCCCCTCTGCCCCTTCCCAAAGCCAGAATCACCACGGGGGAATAGGCAGCCTAGGATTCTGGTGTTACAGAGACGGCAAGGGACTCTGTGTGGGAGTCGCCCACCTCAGAATTAGCATCTGGGCCACACCTGGTGCCCCTACATCAGCGTCTCAGCGTGACCCTTTGTGGAGCTGTTTGACCCGCCCCGAGAGTGAATTTACACGATCTGGTCCATACGACCTTGAGGGATGATACAATTTCATGGGTTTAGCGCACAGGGCTTATAAATGGTGGGATGCCTGGACTTGCCTAGGGTCATGGCCCCGTGACCCTTCCTGTCCCCATGTCCTGGGCGCTCTCCCCTTTGGCTCGTGCATGCCCCAGGGTCACTACGTGGGGGATCTCTCTGCTCCAGGTACAGATTGGCTGCCACACCGATGACCTGACCAGGGCCAGCAAGCTGTTCCGAGGCCCCCTTGTGATTAACCGCTGCTGCCTGGACAAGCCCACAAAGTCAATAACCTGCCTCTGGGGGGGCCTCCTGTACATCATTGTGCCTCAGGGCAGCAAGCTGGGCTCCGTGCCTGTCACGGTTAAGGGGGCTGTGCATGCTCCCTACTACAGGCTAGGTGAGTGGACGCCCTGGAGCGAACGCGAGGGACAGGGAGAGCTGGGGGTGAGGAGGTCATCTGGGGCTGCCTGGTATGGGAAGAGGGAGATTCGGATTGGTGGAGGGAAGGGAGGGAAGCTTCCTTATAGTCAGCTTTGAGGCTGAGGGGATAAAGACCAAACCGTATCACATCCATGGGACCTTTGCAGAAGAAGGATAGAGCAGGTATGTGGTTGTTCATGGCATTGGTGTTCTCCTGCTGGGGTTCAAGTTGAACGTGTTAATGTCAGGGATATGGGAAAACAAGTTTCAAGCGCTGTGGCCTGTCTTCCAGGGGAGACATCCCAGGAGGAATGGAAGAGGCGTATCCAGGAGAATCCAGGTCCCTGGGGAGAGCTGGCTACAGACAACATCATCTTGACGGTGCCAACCGCAAACCTTCGCACTCTGGAGAACCCTGAGCCGCTGCTACGCCTCTGGGACGAGGTGATGCAGGCCGTGGCCCGGCTAGGTGCTGAGCCTTTCCCCCTTCGTCTGCCTCAGAGGATCGTTGCCGACGTGCAGATCTCAGTCGGTGGGTACCTGGGGCGAACCTCTGTGCATGCTGCCCCCCCTTAGGGCCTTCCTTCTTGCAACAGCCATGCAGTGGGCAGCCAGCAGGGTAGAAATGTTCTTATGGCAAGGCATATAAAATGTAATCCTTGCTATTTAAATGGAAAGGGAAAAAATGCGTCAAAAAAAAAAAAAAAAAAAAAGACTCGCTGTGTCCCCCAACAAAACATTGGAAACTACCTAAGTGCCCAACAGTTATGGAATGCTTCAGTAATGTATTGTGTATACCTTCAGTGGACATTAAGGAAGACATTTAAAGTGATATTTTGATGGCATAAGGAAATATGATGAGGTTATGTGACACATAAAAAGCAGGCCGTAGAACTATATGTACACTGTATGTTAAAATATGTTACAGTTTTAGTCAAGAGATGTTATCAAACAGTGGGAATGGTGCAGAAAATACATGCTGGGTTTTCACAGACTTCCATCAGGGGACTTCAAGGAGTGGATAAAACCAACCGAGGGCCTCTTCCTAGGTCACAGGTGTTGGGAGAAAGCACTGAATAAAGAGATCTTTGCCAGCAGGTCAAGAGGCCTGAAAAATGAAGGGTGTATAGAAATTAAAGAACCAAGGAAATCTCTCTGGACCTTAGTTTTCTTGGCTTATGTAGATGATCACTATAAGGTAGTGTCGACGTGGGCAATTCCATGTCTAAAGAATGAGAACCACAAGTTCTTAATTTTGAGAAAAGAGTATAATGATGGGTTCCCACGGACAGAGCACTCTCAGAGAAACAGAAAAATTGAATAGTAACACGAACGGTGATCTGTAACCTGCCTCGGCTCCCATAGCCAGTCAGAGCGGCAATGAAAGCATTATTACAGAATGAGAGGGTAAGGAGGAAGGCCCAGGAGGCTCTGGGTTTTGCCTTTCTGAGCATTACAGGGTTCTGGAAGTCATGGGATCAGCGGGGACTGGGTGTTTTGGGAGATACAATAGAGAGAATAATTTTGTTAGATGGGTGGGGAGCGCTCTAACCTTCTTTTCCCCCTCCTGCATTTCCCAGGCTGGATGCACGCAGGCTACCCCATCATGTGTCACCTGGAGTCGGTGCAGGAGCTCATCAGTGAAAAACTCATCAGAACCAAGGGGCTGTGGGGCCCTGTGCACGAGCTGGGCCGCAACCAGCAGCGGCAGGAGTGGGAGTTCCCCCCGCACACCACCGAGGCCACCTGCAACCTGTGGTGTGTCTATGTGCACGAGACGGTCCTGGGCATCCCTCGAGGACGAGCCAATATCGCTCTGTGGCCCCCAGTTCGGGAGAAAAGAGTCAGAATCTACCTGGGCAAGGGTCCCAATGTGAAAAACTGGAATGCGTGGACGGCCCTGGAAACGTACTTACAGGTGCTGGGCCAGTGTGGGCGGTGGTGGGAGCCCCGCAGTGGGGACCCTGAGCAGACGGTAGTGTGGTGCCCGGGGGACCTCCCGCTGACCCGCCTCCCGCACCAGGTTGGGGAGGTCCTGACAGCGCCCAGGTGTGAAGGTGCTAGTTGAGGATGCTTCTCAGGGCATCACTTTGCATGGCCCTAAGGTGGACTTAATTGCCTCAGCCCCACCCTTCACCCCAGAACTCTGAAGAGATTTTTGAGAGTAGACAGAAAGCACTGAGAAAGGTTAAAAATTGGTAGAGGCAAATGTGATGCTACATATATAGTTGCTGTCACTGGCTTTAAACCTAGACATACCTGAGACTGAAGCCAAACTGCGCTGTTTAAATAGCTCCCTAAAGCTGAACACACCCTGATTTGCGCGCGCACGCACGCGCGCACACACACACACACACACACAAATATGTGGGAAAGGAGCTGTTTTTTCCCTAGGTGAGTAAACCGTCTTCTTATTATGACTTGGCTGTGCCTCAGTTTCCACCTTATAAGCAAGCCAGGTTTCCTCACTGAACTGGACATGGGGGTGGCCTTTGCCTTTTAGTTATCACACAACACCCCAGTTCCAGCCCCCCGGTCCCTGGATCAGTTCCCAGCTCACTGTGGAGAGTTTCATCACCTTGGATTCTGGAACTCAGTCTCAGGCCAGCCACACTCCATGCTGGCCCTTCCACCTGCTGGAGTTCTCACTGCAGATCCCCTCCGCCACAAGAATGACGATGACACTGCTAGGAAACTGCTTTAACCTTGTCATTGGGACAGAAGTTCCTCCTCTGTGAAATCAAGTTGAGGTTGGAGCTGCTTCCCTGGTGGCGCAGTGGTTAAGAATCCACATGCCATTGCAGGGGACACGGGTTCGAGCCCTGGTCCGGGAAGATCCCACATGCCACAGAGCAACTAAGCCCGTGCACTGCAACTACGGAGCCCGCGCTCCACAACAAGAGAAGCCACCGCAATGAGAAGCCCTCACACCACAGCAAAGGGTAGCCCCCGCTTGCCGCAGCTAGAGAAAGCCTGCGCACAGCAACAGAGACCCAGCGCAGCCAAAAATAAACAAATTAACATGGGCTGTTTCCAACAGCCTCGGGATGGCTGCCTTTTCCCAAAATTATGCCTTACTCTTAATTCTAGCTACCTAGAGTATACATTGTCTTGTGCTTCTACTGGACTCACCTTTTTTCCCAAAGGCCGTTTTTGGTCGCCTTGCAAATTGACATAGACCTACAGTTAGTGTGGATTATGTCAGGATACGGCTGGGAGTTCCCTAATTGTTGGGGTTTAACTTTGCAACTATGAAAAACAGTGGATTTTTTCACTTCAACCAATTTTAAATCCTCGTGTAATATCCGATGACTACTTTCATGGTCTAGTGAGATAGGTGAATAATGATATTGGTAGTAAATCCTACAGTTTTCACCACAGCTGTCTTGAGTGTCTGCTTTGTGTTGAGCCCTGTGCCGGCTCAGAGGCCCTTCTCGTCCTCAGAACTTGAGAGTAGCAGTGAGGCTGGCAGGTAAAACAGTAGAGGGTCAGTGATAGATATGAAACTGGTGTTTAAGGGGTGAAACGCGTTAACTCATTTAGAGTGTTTGCTGGGTCTCTTGTAGATCAGATGTCTCATCCTCCTCCTTCCTTCTCTTTCCAGCTCCAGGAGGCCTTTGGGTGGGAGCCGTTCATCCGTCTCTTCACTGAGTATAGGAACCAGACCAACTTGCCCACAGACAATGTCGACAAAATGAATCTGTGGGTGAAGATGTTCTCCCACCAAGTGCAGAAGAACCTGGCTCCGTTCTTTGAGGCCTGGGCCTGGCCGATCCAGAAGGAAGTGGCAACCAGCCTGGCCTATCTGCCTGAGTGGAAGGAAAATATTATGAAATTGTACCTCCTCACACAGATGTAAGGAGTGCCCAGCGAGGTGGCAGGTAGAGAGGTTTGGGGAGTTAGGCAGAGATGGGGATTCACTCCTCGACCTCTGTCTCTTAGGTTCTAGCCTTGACCTCTCAAGCTCACTGCCCCTAGATCTTAGTCATATCTCTGGGGAGTGGGTTCAGAACATAGAAAAAAGTGGAATCGTAATTCCTCAGGAGCAAAGCCTTCTGTTTATGAGCTCATTCCTCTGCTCCCAGCCATCAGATGCCCTCCTGACCCTGTGCTGGGCCAGTGCTGAGAGCTTTGGCCCCTGCTCCTATGCCAGCCCTTGGTTCACCATCGTGGGCCATAGCCCATAGAGGGTGGCTCTCACCCTGAGGACTCCCTGGGCTTTTATTTTGATCATTTCCCCAAAAACCTGACCATAGAACCCAACTGAAATACTAATTTACCATGATATTCAGACAGCTCCCTGATGACTCATATATTTTATGTCTTGGGTACTTTTCCAAAAGCTGTCTGGTGTATTACGAAGAGCCCATAACTCGGGTTAGCTCTTGGGAAAGTCGTTTTATCTCTGAACTCCCATTTCTTTGTGTGTAAGGTGAGGGTAAAGATCCCTGCCTCACAGGGTTGTGGGTGAAGACAGACCGGTCGTTCTGAGGAGTGTGGATACTGGGCATGCACTCTAAGGGGTGGTTTTATTTCATGATGGTCCACAGAGTAGTGAGTTTCCTACTCCCCATTCTCTTCCCACAGCCCAGGGGTTAAGGTCATCATCTCTCACAGTTGACTTACCACATCCAAGTTCTGGTTCTTTCACCAGTTAGTTATATGACTCTGGGCAAGCTCCTGAACTTCTCTGTGACTCAATTTCCTCATCTATAAAATGGGATCTATTTCATAGGACTATTGTGAGGATTAAATTTTAGTACCTCTAAAAGTGACAGTACCTGGCATTTAGTAGCTACTGAGAAATTGTCAGCTGCCACTGTTACTGTCAAATTAACTCAATATCATTTTAGATCAGGACTGCACTTTCAGATGGCATTTACAGATGCAGTGAATTAACCCTATCCCATCCTACACTTTTATACACTGACTCTGAAAGGATTCTGTTATATTGCCCTATGATCTAAAGGAAGGTCTCTATATTTATAGTGGGGTTTTAAAAGTTGCTTGGGGTTTGGTCTCCTTCTTCAATTCCATCTTTCAGGTAAAATCCCTTCTTTGATTAAGAGTGGAAGTCGCTTGAAAACCAGAACAATTCCACGAGGGTGTTCATCCTTAGCAAACAAGGAGCATCCGGCTGAGTGATGGTGTTTATATTTCCGCAGTGACACAGATTCCTGTCGCTGTTTGGCAGATAAAGTCCATGCACAAATAGAACCTTTACACTGGAACAAGATAACTGGATGCAACTGACCCAAATTTCATTTAATTACAGTACATTCAGAGATTTTTAACTTTTCTTCCAATCTTATTCAGAACCTCCCAATTCTTCGTAGTTTCAGCTAGAGCTGGGGCTCCAGGATTAATGCTGTGTACATCCAGCCAGTTTTCCTTTAGCTCACTTCTTTTGATTTAGTTGCTTTAATGCACTGTTTTATTTGCTTAATTGGGAATTGGATGGATGCATAGACAATAAGATTTGACCTAGACAATGTTTTCCTTTCGATTCTTTTACTGTGTCATTTCTTAATACTAGAATTATTTTCCCTTATTTCATGAGTATCTATCATCCAAGTACTTCAAACATAGATGTTAAATATTCATTCAGCATTGAAAATAATTGCTATCAATTAGTGGGTTGTTGAGTATGTGCCAAGTATATAGATTGTTTCATTTAATCTTCACAGTAACCTTATGGAATGGAAACTTAACAGCTCCCATTTTTCAAATGAGTGAACTGAATTTTATGGAGATTGAGTAAATTGCCTAAGCCTTTATTGGTAATAAGTGATAGATCTGGGATCTGAACCCAGGCATTCTGAATACAAATGAGTTTTAGTAACTACAGTGCTTTGAACAAGCAAATAAATGAGGAAATGAAGAAATGAACCAGCAAATAGAAGGAACTTTATGTCCCTCCTCGCCAGCACTTGGGCTGTTTTTACTTAGCTCTCACCTAATTTTATCAGAACAGAAAGTCCTTTTGTTTACCCCAAATGCCAGTTCAAAGGAAGACTTTGAGGTAGGCTCCTGAGGTGCTCCCAATGGACAGTGCTGGGATGGTCCCTTTAGTACGGTCCCAGTCATCTGGGTTCCGGGATCTTTGGGTTTCAGTCCTTATCTCCAGGGCACCATGAAAGCATTCTACTAGCTTATTGGATTTTGAACGATGGGCTATTTTGGTAAAGTGTCTGACTCCCAAAAGTCTCAGACACTGTATGTTTTCAGAAAGGAAATTAGATCCTCAGTCATTTAGAACAATTTTTATACCCATTCTTGCCCTCCTTAGTCCATTTTCAGCAGTACAGCCCCGGGGACCTTTTAAAAATATCGAGTTATCCATGTCACTCCCCTGTCTAAAAGCTTCCAATGGGACTTTGAATTTAAGATGATGAACTGAACATGTAAGTTTACTTCCCTCCCTCCCCAGGCCCCACTGAAACCGAAGTCAAGAAATGTAAAAGAGAATTGACACATCTCAGCAAAGAAAACTGAAGGAATTTGGTTATAAGTGAAGAAGATCTCAACACATTTCTGGAAGAGAGAAAGTGGAAGAAGTGATAATGAAAGAGTGCAGCTCCTTTCAGACGGAATATAAGCTGATCTGAACATGTAACCCCAAAGAGATTTGGGCACCTGAAAAGTCTGTCTACTGAAGAATTATGTGTCAGTTGTGAAATTGAACCCCATCTCATTCTACCCCAACCTTTGCACAGAATACAGGCAACCTACCACTGGTTTCTGTTAAGTCTGTTGTTGTTGTTGTTTATTGTTGTTGTTTGTGTAAAGGAATCGAATAAACTGCTTCAGGAAAGGTAGGAGTTGGTGCTCCAAAATAAATTTCTCTTTTGGGGAAAAAAGTGAGCCCCTAGCAGTTAGTTCTCTACAGATGGCTGAGATCCCTACTCAAGTAACCAAGTGCTTTTAGTCACAGAAAGGTTTACTGGAGAAGCAGACAGACCACACAATGGCAGAGGGAACCCACAGCAACTCCTATAAAAACAGTTATACTGATTCTTCAATGCAAATGGTCAGCTGGGAATTCCCAGACATTGAGCCTTAGGGGTAGGGGTTGGGGGAGGGACCAGGGGAGCAGCATGTGAGAAAAATAAACAATCAGGAAATTTGAAAAATATAACAGACTCTAGGGGCAACAGTTAACATGGAAGAAAATGACTTAAATATCTTCAGAGACATCTAAGGTGCATTTGTAAGATAAAAACAGGATGCTACAAAGAAGGGGAAAACCCTGAAAATAAGAGGAGCCCTTAAATTGAAATAGGACTGCCAAAAATATTTAGTAGACAGGCTGTAAAATAAGGTTGAGGGAATCTCCCTAGATATAGAGCAAAAAGAAATAGAAAATATAAAGAGAGGAAAGAGACACAGACAATATCTAACTGTTACGAGTTTCTGGAAGAGAGAACACAGGAAATGTTGTGAAGAAAAAAAAATTGAACAGAAATAAGTCTCCAAATTGAGAGGACCCTATACAACCTACATCTAGACATAATCTTGTGAAATTCTGGATATATATTAAGGATAGAGCGAAGATACTGAAAGTGCCAAGAGAAAAAAATAAAATTAGGTCATCATAATTAGCTCAACTAAAAAGGGATGAGAAATAGACTGGGAGCCGATTTTTCATCATCAACACAATGCTAGAAGCCAATAGAGAAGTGTCTTCACACGTGGAAAATCTTTGTACCCAGAATTCCATAGCAAGCCAAACTGTCAAGAGTCAAGTCGAAAGGAATTTTCCAACATGCGAGTTTTCAGAAAGTCTACCCTCTTAGCACCTGGAAAGGAAGTTCTCTCTCACCTACTGAGGAAGTTCTCCAGCAAAATGAGAATGAAAATTGGGAAAGAGAAAGAAATGGAATCCAGAAAACAGTGCACCTCACCAAGGATGGCTGACTCCAGAGTGACCATTATCCAATAGGATAGCTCACTCCAGAGTGACAGTTATCCAACAGGAAGGCTCACTCCAGAGTGACAGTTATCCAACAGGAAGGCTCACTTCAGAGTGACAGTTATCCAATAGGATGGCTCACTCCAGAGTGACCATTATCCAACAGGACGGCTGACTTCAGAGTGACAGTTATCCAATAGGATGGCTCACTCTAGAGTGACAGTTATCCAAGAGACCCATTTCAGATGAGAGTACACAGTTTTCAGGCTCTCTGGGGAGAACATGCATTCTGTGCCATAGATATTATCCTTGAGAAGCTGGAATGTTTGAGAATATGGAGGAGATACATTCTTTAGTAAACAAGAGAACAAAACAAAAATGTCAAATTCAGGTTCAATTATGAGACAATAATAAAAAAAAATCATGGAATGTAAGAAGAGACTCATTTTGACATTGGCAGTAGGTACATTTCATTTCAAGTGACACAGGAAACATGACATTGGATATGTTTGGAAGAAAATATCCTAGCTTCTACTTAGCTCCCAGTAAACAGTATTTACAAAGCCAAAATAATGTAGATACTATTTATTGGTATTCAGTGTTCTGATCAGCCTATAGGTAAAACACGAAAGGCTTGATCTTTTATTCAGAAATAAAAGGGGAAGTAATCCTGAAAAGGAAAAAGAAAGCAGAAAGAGGTTGAGAATTAGTTGGGGGAAGAGAGGTGGAGGGAAGAGTAGAATTACCTATTCAAAATGGGGATGAAAAGATAAAGTCTACAGTTAATGGGACAAGGACTAAAGGATTGTTACTGTTCAAAACTATAAACCAATAGAAGTATTAAAAATGACATCTGTCAAAAATTTGGAAAAGGATAGGCAAATGAAAGGTGGGAATAGTGTAAGTTAAATCCTTATCTTTTGTAATGGGGGATTATTAAAGATTGTCTAAAGTTAATAAGTCAAGAAATTATTGTTCAAACATTATTTAATGTTAGGAAGTTAGTTAACAGAATATCTAAAAATAGAAATTGTTAAATGCATTGCCTCTAGGGTATGGGACTAGGGTTAAAAGGGTGGGGTGGGAAACTGTGTTTTTCATTTTAAGTCCTTCTGTACTATTTAATTTTTTACCTTGTGCATGTATTACTTTGAAAATTTTTTAATAAACTTAAATAAAAACCCTTCAATGGCTTCATATTAACTAAGATACAGTCCAATCAAAACACTTAAAACGGCTTATAAGGCCCTCAAGTATTTGGATCCACCCAGTGTGTCCAAGGCTCATCACATCTCGCCATCACTCTCTAGTTCTAACCACACTAAATACCCTCCAGCTATTCAGACACACTTCCCCTTCTCCTGTTTCTACAGGTGTTCCACAGAAAACAAATCCTGTCCCGACCTCACCATGTGTCTGCTGATGAAGCTTACTGTCTAGCAGGTTTTCAGTATCAGTTGAGTGAATGAATGTGCAACAGGGTGTTCATGAAAATCACCAACTAGTGTTCTTTCCCAAGAAGGCACATGATGTTTGTCTCTATTCCAGGAGCATTTCAAGACCATGATGTACGCTTTCCTGAACTATTCATTTGACAGTTTTGATAAGTTTTAGTCATATACGAGACCAGGTGATGTCAGAGGATTTCTATCCATCTGTTAGTCTCTTTGGTATGTTCTTTGCCAAACTGCCTCAATATCATAATCGATTTTCAGCTATTTTTTCCCTGTAGTTGGGAGAAACAGCCAGCTATCTAGTGGACATCTTCAGGCTCCCAAGTTTCATGTGTCCTGCTATGCCTAGTTTCTTGGTGGCTCTTCCTTCTTCATTAATTTACTCTCTTCTATTGTCTACCTTCCAAGGCCAACTGGAGCTCTCTAATGAGTATTGACTGACCTTACTGCCAATCTTCAACAACTGCCATTTACTGGAAATCTTTCCTATCTCCTCTTAAGATCACTCTCTGATTTACCTAGTCCCTAAACCAATGTCCCCACCCAATGTCACAACCTCACCTAATACATGTACTTAACAGGCCAGTAAGTAAGCAAATACTGCCCTAGATATTGACTATTCTTGCTGACAAAAGTAACACACCCTTCTTTCAAGACTAATTCACGCCTATGTTCTTTACTCCTTCAAAGATTTTGGACCCCTACTTGGCTTCCATTTTGAAACAGATTTCTTTCATTGACCCACACAATTGGAGTCAGTCTTCCAAGTGTGGTAGAGAAGGGGTGGAGGTTATCTTTAACTTTTCAGACATCTAGCTACAGATACACAAAAACAATTCCACATCTAATTCGAGAGAGTTACAGAAATGTTACTTATTTGGATTCTTGTGATTTAAATGCTGTAAAGAGAAGCGTTTCTTTGATAGGAAAGCTTGAGCAGTTTATTTCCAATGTTCTAGTGTCATGTTAGGTGGTTGGTTTCATAGGTGCTCATTATATTAGAAATAAATAGAATAAATAAATGAGTAAATTAAAAACAAGGTATGCATTGACCAGTGATGACAGTGTCAGAAGCCAAGGATTATGCTAACACAAATATGTGCGCCTGAGGGCCATCAGAGTTAATCCGGTACATCGGCACTATATAGGGACTCATATATAATTAGTTAAGAAATATGTACGTGGAGGTACTAAAAATTTCTTTGCATGAGCTGCCTAAATTTGGACATCATAGGCACTTTCACAGATTGCCAAAATTATTTAGTATAATTTGAGAACTGAGATAGTGCTGAAAGGGTAGGACGGAGGGCAAAATGATCAAATGTACAGTATAAAAACAAGTCAAGTGGTTGGGAAGAGGCCCCAGAGACATAGAGAGAAGACCCCTCTCCGCTTCTCAACAATACAGCAGGCTCTGCCTATGCCTAGTCCTCTCATCTGTGAAGTGTCTGATGTAAACAGGAGCCAAGAACCTGGAAAGATCATAAGCTCATTCCTCACCCTTTGTCAAGGTTAATAGAGACAGGAGAGGAAACTCCAACTTTTTTTTTTTAATAGTTTCTCCTTTTCTTGCTATCTGTGTAGCCTTGGAACCAAACTGTTACAAAGTAAACAATAACAAGCCTTAGTTAAGGCTTTTGACATTTAATCACAGGATGATTGGCACTATAAGCTGATTTACTGATGACGAGCTTAATCAAAACTTAGAGCAGACTTAAATCTCAGGTCCTCATAGGGAAACTTTCAGATAAACTATAAAAGGGCAAAGATCTGACTTATCAGAAGTGTTTGAGTGACCTTTGGATAAAACCTAGTGGATCTCTGGTACTGGATAAAGAAGGGCCTTTGGGGCTTCCCTGTTGGCGCAGTGGTTGGGAGTCCGCCTGCTGATGCAGGGGACACGGGTTCGTGCCCCGGTCCGGGCAGATCCCACATGCCGCGGAGCGGCTGGGCCCGTGAGCCATGGCCGCTGAGCCTGCGCGTCCGAAGCCTGTGCTCCGCAACGGGAAAGGCCACAACAGTGAGAGGCCCATGTACCGCAAAAAAAAAAAAAAAAAAGGGCCTTTGATGGGGTGGGGAGGAGAGAATATGCTCAGGTATAGCCGGTGATGGTGTTAATGCCCTCCAGCCAAAGACCATCAGGAACACACCTGTAGTTGAACAAGTTGGACACCACAGGGAACTGTGGGAGTCTCAGTAAAAGAGTGTTAGAGAGAACCTGTTATAGGATTTGGGCTTGGGTAGGTAGTTTAAGGGAGGGTCTAAGGAAGCAAGGCTTTGTTCTGGATTGGATGCTCTCAAGAAGCAGTGGCACTTCTGTGAGTGAGTTTCTCAATAAATCTCATCTCTAAGGAGGGCTGACTAAAGTGAGCTTAAAGCTGGAGTTGGCTTTTTTAAAAAAAGCAGCAGTTACTCACTTTAGACAAGAGAGAGGTGTGTCTGGTATTTTGTGGTTGCCCAGAGATCTTGTTTCCATCTAACTTAATTTATCATAGTCTCAGAGTGACCTTGTCTGATGTCAATGTTCTGTGAAATTTTTATGTCCGACAGGGCAAACATGGCCATGTTCTAGCTGTGAGTGTCAGACAACTTCCTGGGTGTCAGGGGCTGCTTTTTTTTTTCTTTCCTAATGCAAAAGAATAGAGAAAGAGCCTTTGTTTCTCTTACAGAAAATTCAAAACTGTACTTCTCTTGACTGAGCATAAGGGATAAGTTAGAAAAAAATTAATATCACAATTAATATCACAAGAGATATCCTGGGAAAGGATGGTTCCCTAATGATCCCCTAGACTTGGTGAGGTCTTGGTTGTAAACCAAAATGAAGTTGGGACCGTGCTCAATACTCAAGGGGCGCTCACTTATTGTCTGAAACATGCCCACTCCTTAAATGTAGGTTCTGGGCCATGCCTAGGAGGAATAGGAAGCAGTCACGAGAGTAGCAGTTTGCTTTTACATAGGAGGGATAACAACAAACCTTTACAATTCATGTAATTTCATTTGCTAACTGTTATAATTGGTGCACACAGAAGGAATTGAAATTTTAAAACGGAAACTGGAAGATGCATTTCCCCAGTGCTCAGACTTCCCTTGCTAAACTTAGAATCTCTGTTGGGATAGGAGATTAAGGTAGTAAAGGTCCATGGCCTCACCCAGATTTTCAATATTTTTTTAGCACTAAACTAGATGAAGCCACTAGAGAAACACTTCTCCAAGTTAAATTAAAAACCTTTTTTTTTTTGCAGTACGCGGGCCTCTCACTGTTGTGGCCTCTCCCGTTGCGGAGCACAGGCTCCGACGCGCAGGCTCAGCGGCCATGGCTCATGGGCCTAGCCGCTCCGCAGCATGTGGGATCTTCCTGGACCGGGGCACGAACCCGTGTCCCCTGCATCGGCAGGCGGACTCTCAACCACTGCACCACCGGGGAAGCCCAACCTTCTTGTTTTATCTGCCCTCTTTTAAGAAACATTCATAACATGTTTCTTAAACATTCATAAAACCAGTATAAAATTTTGGTTTCTGAAAGATACATTTCCCACATTTGGGCATCCTCTTCTAGTCTAGCCATCAAGTCACCTAAAAATTCATTAGATAAACATGTATTGAACACAGACTGCAATGCTAGTTACTGTTACAGGGTCTGGAAATACAAGGTAAACATAATAAAGCTCCTTCCAGTTAGAACATAAAAATGAACAAATAAACATATATCAGGTATGTTAAGTCCTGTGAAGTATTATAAAACAAAGGATGGGGAAGAGAGTGTTCTGGGATAGAGGCGTAGACAATGGGTAGTGAGGTCCAGGAAAGCCTCTCTGATAAGGCGACATTTGAGCAAATTCTTAAAGGAAATGATGGAGCAAACCCTGCAGATAATTCACGGCAAAGAGAGGTAAAATTATATTTGGCATATTGAGAGCAGCAAGACAGACATGAGTTTCATCCCTAGAATAGTCAATAGCTACTTTCTCAGATGTAAGTCTTGACCACAGATTTCTGACCGTAACAATCTATTAGGGGCCATTAACCTAATGGACACTTGTAACTTTTGAATGTCTGTCCTCAAAGTCAAGCCACATTTCACAATAAATTTTGCAGCTGCTCCCCTCTGAAATTTCTCTGACTAAAACGAAAGAGGGGCTCATCTCAGTAGTTGTTATGGCCTCTACCAAAGGGACTGAATGGAGACATGACTCTATACTTTTCCATACTAATTTCTGGGCCCCTGTCAATGACCCGATGGATCCAGTAAGTAGAATTTGGAACCAAATTCATACGGAGAAAATTGATCTGGAAACAATTGACAAAGTTTGCATAGCAATGAAAATTTTAGTCTTATATGTTGATGCCCATCACGACAAATGTGTAGAGAGTAGCGGGAACCTTAGACTCAGTTATTCCTGGCTTGTCATTCTATATCCACCCTTCCCCCTTTTCCCCACCTGCCCAAGCTGAATGATGTCCATTCGACCTCAGTTCAAATTAAAAGACACTTTGGATCACAAGTCTCAATATATAACGGGAAGACTTAAAAAGGAAGGCCTTCATGTCACAGGAACTTCAGAATAAATTCTGAACTAACATTTGCAGGAAGAAGAATTATGTTGCTGGTCTTTATAAGAGTAGGAACTTTGACACACTCTTCCTCTGTAGGAATTTTGTTATGGAGATATTTGG